TATATATATGTGTATGTATATATGAGTGTGTGTGTGTGTTTGTGTGTATTATAAATGTGAATTTAATTTAATTTAAACTCCAACTCAACTCATTTAAACTTACGCTGCTGGTAACCTTAATTTCCTGAGGGAGTCTTCCCAAGGGATCAATAAAGTACTGTCTAAGTCTAAGTCTAAGTCTAAATCAATTAAATGTAAATGTTTGTGCTCTTTATCCAGGAAACCCTGAAGTCACATCTACTTTTCAGGATCTGGTTATTATGGACACAGATTACATGTTAAATTTCAATATTACAATATTTATATTACAGTAACAGAGTTACAAACATTAGTAGCTGAAAACTCTCAGCATTAAAACTACAGACGCTGGTTTGGTGCTTCCTTATATCGTAGACAGGCGGAAACATTTAGAATCATCATTTTAAAAGTTACGGACGGTTTTTTGGTGCCAACTTGCTTCCCAGATATATTGGTGTGAGTGTGAAATGGTGAATAAGGTTCATTGACTTAAAGCACTTTGTAAAAAGGCGCTTTATGGAGTTCAGTTCGTTTCCTTTTATTAGTTTACGGGCAGTTCTGCCAAATCCAAGATGGCGGACGCGGTGACGTTTCACTGAACGGACCAATAGGCTCAAGGCGGAAGTGACGTTTGTTTGTTTACGTTTTCTTCGGCTAGCTTAGCTCCGGTGATTAGCTGTTAGCAAACTGTGCTGTGATATTCTGGAATTATCCCACATAGGAATCACATAATGGCAGCACACGACAAAGCACCGTGTGAATGAAGTCTTTTGAGAGTTAAAAACTCCTTAAACCAGACTGACTAGCGTCAGTTTTAAAAAATGGTGCATTTGGTTAAAGTTTGCGGTTTATCTTAAACTTTAAATGTTGATGCTCAAATGTATTGAATAAAGCCATATAATATGAGAGATTAGAGCCACTCTTTACCTCACAGTTGGTGAACTTTTGTTTAAACATGTATATTCTCTGTATAAAACAACAAACTGGCTCTGAAACAAACTCAGTCAGAACAGAATGTGTGATGAAGAATGTATTTACAAAGGGAAGTTTACTCTTCATTAGGTTTAGTCACTGTTGTTATTAACTTGTAAAACAAAATTGAACATACCTTTTTAAGAAGCACTCCACCTGAAACTATTACAGTTCTTCTCTAATAAAAATAGCTTGTTTATCACATCTTTACCAGTTAATTTTTGATCATGGATAAAAAATATGAACAAATAA